TGCGGCGGCGGCCCCCTGCGGCACAAAGGGGGTAAGTGGCGACGCAGCTGCGGGGGGGGGGGTCTCGTTCCACGTTGCGCCCCGTACCGGTGCCAGTGCCGCCCTTCCTCCTCGCCTCCCCCCCCGGCCCTGCGCCCTTGCCGCTGCTCAGGCGCCCTGCTCTCTGAGGAGGAGCCGGAGAGACCCCTGGCACGGCCGGTGTTGCCAGCGGGGAGCCGGGCAAAGGTGCCGTCTGCAGGTAAAAGAGTCTTCGGCAGTAAAGCCCAGCCTGCCAGGTGGGAGCGGGCAGCACGAAAACGCAGCCCGAATCGCCTGTCGGGGTGCTTCTGTATTTTTTTTTTTTACCATGGGGGCAGCGAGGCCCTGGCACAGGTTGCCCAGAGAAGGTGTGGATGCCCCATCCCTGGAAGTGTTCAAGGCCAGGTTGGATGGGGCTTGGAGCAACCTGGTCTGTGGAAGGTGTCCCTGCCTGTGGCGGGGGGCTTGGAACTAGGTAATCCTTAAGGCCCCTTCTGACCCAAACCGTTCTGTGATTCTACATGCTGCCAAGCGTGTTTATAGTTCAAACTTAAAAGTACTTCTGGAAAAATGAGGCAATGCATTCCCAGTAGTAGGAAAGCCATTCAGTCGCAGCACAACACACAATGAGCATTCGTTCTGTTTAGAAGGAAGTTTTTGCTGCCAGAGTAATTGTGTTTAATTTGAGCTGTTCTGGTAACCCCTGGACCAGTAGAAACAGTGCTAATAATGGGAGCTGAGAGGCTGCCTGTTAGCAACAGCATTGCTAATAAAATTCCCATTGCTACATCCTTGATAGTTGACATCCTATGATCCAGAAAAACCCACTGAGATTTTTCTGCTCACTCTGCATGTATTCAGAGTTTTTGGACAAAAAGCTACCTGCTCCTTATAAACGGTGTCAGTTTGATTTTGAATTCATCAGTAAGTTGAGCAATTTCCTTCAAGCATTTTGGATTTGTATCACCTTTGAGAACAGCTCTTTTTGTTTTTATGGCTTTCTGTGTTTCATGCCTTTGGGTTGTTATTCCATACTTCTAGGTATCCTGGAATCTACCTGCCTTCTCTAGACTTTGTGGCTAGAGTAATACATGTGGATTGAATGTAACATTTTTGAAAGCTATGAGAGTAACTGTCCCCTTAGTAAATGGTTTATTCTGGAGGTGCTGTTGCCCCCAGAGGAGTGTAAGCTGTTGACGGGGCACGGATGAGCATGCCTCCTCTATTTGTAACTTGTTCAAACAGCAATACTGATTTGATTGATCAGATTCAAGGCCCTAAACTAACATTGCGATGGAGCTGAGGTCTGGCCGTGTTAGTGGGAATGTGAGAAGACTAAACGTTACCAAAAAAAGCCTGAATTGCTTTCTGCTTGGCTTTAAAAAAGTGTGGATTACCTCTGCCTCCTGTCTGTAGGAGGGGACATGGCCAAATACTCATCTGAGAAGAAGAATCAAGTTGAAGGTGAAACGTCATCAAAAGATATTGGCCACTTGTGCTTTAACATCAGGCGAGTGTAGACTCTGTGACTTTGCATTGCTGTGAGGAATAGAAGAGATGTTGGCAGATGCCCTCTGAAATGGAGAACAATTTTCTTATCTGTTTCAAAATATTTTTCCACGTAGCTGATGTACCTTTAGTGTAGTTCTGCTTGAACTTGAGTCAGCTATCCATGTATGGAGCCTTGTGTAAGCTTCCATTTGTACTAAAGTAGGTTTGCCCTCCAATTCTGCAATTTAGAGATGTTGTGGAGGCCCACTTCCGATTCCCCTGTTTTCTAAGCACCTAGATTTTTGTAGCCCCATGGAGCTTTTAATTATTAGAATACAGTCTCTAGCTAGCACCTAAAGAGGTTCCTGGGATTGTTTTTCAAACAACCACAGATGGCTAGCTTGGGAAAAATAAGGGGGAAGGGTAGTGCTGGAAGAAATGCCTTCTGTAGTGCTGGAAGAAGTGCTTTCTGCTCTCAACTCCTGTCCCAGTAGCACTGGCCACCTGGTGCCTACTTCTGGTCTCCAGTTTTTGCCTTCTTCAGGTCTCTCCTTTTTTCTGGGTTGAAGTGTCCAGGAAACAACTGAAGCATCCAGGATATTAACTGGACATTGTTTGATTTACTTGTGCTGGAGGGTGTTGTTCCATTTCTTGGAAGCAAAAGTTAAGTTGAGGAAATTGTTGGGAAGAGTGCCGGTCTTGGTTAAGCAGTTAGAGTGGATGAATTGCTGACCTTTTGTGGGAGTAGGGCAAGCTTCTTTCTCTGAAAGATTCCCCCCAACCTACTTAGAATTTTTGCTTGAGGAGGGGGGTGGCAGACAGAGTTGACACGTTAGGAGATGTGTGCAAGTAGAGTCAAGTAGTTTCAGAGTTTTCAGGATTTTACTGATGTATGAAGAAGGAGCTGTAATCTGGCAGGGACTGTGCTTCCAAAGGTATTCTGGCATAGCTCTTGGTAGGCTTGAACTTGTCTAGTTGCTTTTCAAACTTCCAGAAATTTGCAGCATCCACAGCATACCAGGAAAAGGAATTCCATAGATTGCCATCTGTTTTATGAAGATTTTTCTCTTTCACTTGTTTTGAATTTGACACGTGCAGCCTTTGATAGGTGTCTCCTCCTTACTTGGAAGAAAATGTGATTTGTTATTCCCTTTTCGGTTTTGTCATGATTTTGTAGACCTCTGCTATATCATTTCCTCAATCTTTTTTCTTCCATCCTGCAGAATCCCAACTATGGTAGTCATTGCTGATGTAGAAGCCACTCTGGCTTTGGTGCAAACCTTCTCTCTAATTACAAGTACAGAATACCAGTAATTTTACTGTATCATTTTTAAGCGGGTGCATTAGGGGGGAAACAAACCTTCATGTAGTGTTGAGGAATAACGTGGACTTGCACAGTTAAATAATTATATTCTTTGTCTTAGTTTTTAAGTTTTTTTTCTGATAACTTCTGATATCCAGTCTGGTTTGTTCACTGCTGGTGAGTACCTAGTAGATGTTTTCATCAAGCTATCAGGTGTAACCCCAACACTTCATTCCTGAGCGGTATGTAACTCAGAGCCTGTTGTATATATGAATGGCCTTGCTCATGTGACCACCAGTATGAAATTTAGCACCTCTCTGATCTGATAAAACCTATAGCTCTTGCCTTTACTGGCACACTTGCAGACATTTGAGAGAGTTTTGAAAATGTTTAACTAACTTAAAGGATAATACTGAATAAGTAGCAAATTGAGAATTTTCTCTGAAAAAGAGAAAACAAATCAGCCCTTTGCCTGCCAAGGTTTTTTTTTAAGTATTGAAAATTCACTTTATTTTGCTTTTTTATTAATTTCTCAAATAATACATTTTTGCAAATAGTATCAAAACTTTTTTTGTGTATGTGTGTGAATGTTTCAGGAAATGCTTCAAAGAACATCAGAAGATTTTTTTCCAAAGATGGAAAGTTCAGTTGAAGAGATGGATACCTCTGATACCCAGTGGGGCTGGTTTTATTTGGCTGAGTGTGGTAAATGGCATATGTTTCAGGTAAATACCTATGAGGTTATATTAGCTATGATGGATTCCATACATCAAACTACCTATTGCTGAATTTGTCTAAATGTGTTTTTCCATTTATTTTGAAGACCGATTCAAACAGTCATTGCTCTGTTAGCAGTGAAGATATTGAAAGGAGCTTCCGAACAAACCCACATGGTTCTGTTTCTTTTACTACTGCAAAATTTAACTACACACTAGACTTTGCAGGTATGTATCGTTTCATAGAGTAAATTTAAATAATAGAAGGTGCCAGATACACTGGTTCATTTGTTCATTCAGCAAATTATTGTCCTCGTATCTAGTGCAAAAACTTGTGATTGGAAACGTCATCTTCACTGGAAAGTACACAGGAGTTCTTAGAAGCAGCTGCCCTCTTACGTTTTCTAGTGTAGTTTATTAATAAAAGTAGCATGTCTTGTTTAGTAGCACTCCATCACATAACTGTCACTTACCTCAGCTGTAGGTGGTAAGTAGCATACATTTATGGGACTGTGAAGTTTGAACCTTTTTTCTTTAACATGTAACTCATGTAAGCTTGAAAAACCTCTTCCATTCAGAGTCTGTATAAGAAACATTGATATGAAAGAAGTTTTCTGCAAAATACTGGCATCAAAGTGATCTAATAATTCAGCAGGTAGTTGAAGCCAATTCTGTTCTCAGAATAACAAGGAGAGAGGCAAAAGGATTTTTCTAGTAGACTGTAAAGATCTCACTTATGCCATGCTTCTAAATTGCAGAATATTACAGGATTCTCATGTATGTAGCTAATTATAAATTAATCTGTCCTTTGTTCAAAGGTGTGTTCTCATGACTTCCTTTTTTTTTTTAAGCTTTTCTATCCATACTTTGTTTATTTTCTGATTAAATTACAAAACAGTTATATGCTTAAATAGAAGCCTTTTCCAAATGAAAGAAAATAATAGTATTTCAAATACAGAAATTGGGGACTGGGTAAAACAGCAATGTACTGGGAGTAAAGTAGTATGAAACAATACAAGGAGTTTTATGTTTGCTTGTGTTGAAATGTCTATTTGAAAAACCCTTTGTTTTGCATCTGGAATAAAACCACTAAATGCAAATGCTGAAGAACGATTTTTATGTTACTGTTTGTAGGTCATGATGCCTTAAGGACAGTAGTAATGTGCTTTGTCATACTAGTTGTATTAAAGTCAGTGGAAGTTTTGCCAGTGATTTAGTGGGGCTGAATGTTAGATGGGTATTTTAACAATAAACATTTTGTTTGTGTAATATTAGCTCATTTTGTCAACTCATATAAATGACAATGATTCTGAGGCCAGTATTTAGAAACATTTATTGAAAATGCTGATTTGTTAATTGTTGAAATAGGAATTCCTGTCAAGCAACTTTGGGTGTAGTAATGTTATTTTAAAAAATGACACTTAAATGTTTCGTATGCTATAGATGAATTCCAGAAATTTTCATCCTAACTCTTGTTTTATGCACAGTGATGAAACAAACCAACCTAACTACCCTTAAGCAACGTCCAATAAAGAGAGCTCCCTTTTCTATCAGTGCTTTCAGGTAAGGAAATAAAAGGAAGACTCCTTATTTTTATTTTATTCCTGATTCTTCTAAGTAAAATGAAACAAAAATATGTTTTGTATTTACTGTTTATATTTATTTACTTTTTGCATCAAACAATTTGAGAGGTGAACCAAGGTGGGAGAGCTAGTCAAGTGAAGAAGGAAGACGTTTCAGAGAAGAGTGACAAATGAATTTTTAGTTTGTTTTTTATCTTTTTTCTGAGAAAGTAAGGAATGCGTAGTGGGAGAGGCAAGGCATACTGAATACTGATATCCTTTGGCAAGGTTCTTAAAGCTGTGCCTGACTTTAGCAATTGGAGTCCCTTGCTGTAAATACCCGTTGAATCAGAATTTCTGTAGAGAAGCAGCAGCAAAAAATGGAGTAGTTTGTTCCATTTTAATAATGACTTCATAAATTATTTAGAAGTATTATTATAACAGCAAAGAGTATTTGAGTTATATTTTCTTGCCTGTATGTTTTAATCATTTACTCCAAAATGATTTGAAATTACAAGAAATTGCATCATAGCAACCAGATTGTTTTATGAGTCTAATTGCTTTAGATTGTAAGTTTCTTACCATTTGATCAGTCATTAGATGTAAAGCTGTACTGATGTAAATCTGATACTCACTAAACAATAAACTGATCTATGCAGTGATACTACCACAGGTATAATTGACTATATGGGATATGTGGGGTTTTTCCCCAAATAGTTTCTTAGAAATAATTTTAGTTCTAAATTGTAGCCTGGTTATACTTTCAAAAAGAAATCTGACATTTTTAATAAGAAATGTAGTAGCCATCTTCTTTATGTGGACATTCAGGAGGGCCTGGTTGGTTTTTTTTGAAGCGTCAACTCTTTTTTAGTAGATATTTGCTGAAGAGTGTGTGCAATAATTTGGCAATTCACTTCGGTTTTTTTGTTTCTTGAATAATTGCCTTCAGCACTCTTCTGCCATGTGATGACACCATTCTTTACTTTCAGGAGATTGCTTCTTTTAGTCCTGGTTTTAAGGCTTAAAAGCTGCTATGTATGTGGTGTATATGCTTAAAACACTTTTTTTTTTTTGAGGGTTTGGTTTTGTTTTTTTAAAAACAAATTCAACTATAATTTTCAAGTGTGTATTTTTAACATGATGCTTTTAAATACTTCAGATGAGGGCTCAGTTTCCAGAGGCTTAGGCTAGTTGTAATTCCTGATAGTTTGGAATGTTCGGGCTGTATCTACACTCTCACATTTCTAAATTGGTGTTGCTTTCTTGATGTTGTGGACCTTTCTGACCATCTCTTCTGATTTATCTCCCTATCTTTTGTTGCGTAGATGGTGTATTAAAACTGTTCATTACCATGGTTTATTTATAGTAAGCTAAGCCAGAATTCGAATACAAAATAAGACCTCTTGCTTTTGACCTTACCTGCTGACAGCAGCCTTTGTTTGAATTAAAACTCTAAGTAGTTTTGTATAAGTTGGGGTTTTTTGCATACCGTGTTGTTTGGAGCAGGAGTTTGACAGGAAGAAAATGCCTCATGTCTTTGATGTGATGTGTTTTTACCTTTTTTCTGTTTCAAGTTTCATCTGTGAAAATGAGGCTATCCCTATGCCTTCACACTGGGAGAATGTAAATAGTGAGGAACCATACCAGGTAAGAGTTGGTATGCAAGTTGGTCAAAAACATGTGATAATGAAATAATGCATCGAATTGAAATCGTACTAACCTCTTTTTTTCCAGCTTATTCCATTGCAAAAGAAAACAAATGAATATAATGAAGTTTCTAGTCTCTTTGGAAAAACAATGGATAGCCACCGAATTAAAAGAATTAAGAGAATACAAAATCTAGACTTGTGGGAGTTTTTTTGCAGGTGAGATTATTTCTAAAACCAACAGTCTTAGGATTGTTAACGGAGCAAATCTTGAAGGCATGCAGCAGAAATATGTTTAATTGCTTTTATTATTAATGAAAATATGTGTTACTCTTTATCTTTTTAAAACTTTATTTGTCATTCCTCTGCATTCAAATTTCCATTTTCAAAACTCTGTAGCTTCTACAGGTGCAGAAATGTAATACTTGTAGATATGCATTAGATGTAGCATTGATAAGACTGATGCATTAAAGATGTTCAGGATGTCCATGTGGTAGATGCCCATGATACTTACAGTGAAGTAAGGAGAACAAAAATAAGCTTTTTGTAAAACAATTCCTTGACAGGCTTGTATTATTTTAATTTTTAGAGAACAAAGCAAATTAATATTTGTGGCTTGTTTAACTTCTCAACTTTATGAAACCTAAGACAGAATTAAGTGTCCAATTAGCACATATTCAGGTAATTTCTTTAAGTGTAATGTGCTACAAAAGCTTTTTGTAAGTTCTCTTATTTTCCCTCCTCATATTGTGCTGGCCTGGAAGAAGTAGGAAGTGCTAAGTTCTGTTTCCATTTATTTCGTAGTATCAGTCTTAAGCAGTTGTATTTGACAAATGTTGTTTGTGTAGCCTCTAAGAAGGAGTACATATCAGAATCAGTTTTGAAGAGGTACTACACTATTAAAACCAACTGAACTAAGTTATATAGTGAGGAAATAACTAAGCAGATGTATATTAACAATTTGTATAACTTATATGATTTTTTGAAAGATATGTAATTTATTGTTAATTTAAAGCCGTATCATGAATATACATAAGGAAATGAATTTAAGTTCTTGGTTAAGAGAGTTAGCCTTCTCTTAATTGCAAATTTATTTGGTTATGTTTACCTGTTTAAGTATTAAGGCTTATTTGCTTGGCCTTGTGTTTCAACATCTACCTTTCTACAAATAAGTTTCCGTAGAGGTGTATTTATACCATCTTAATACCAGTCTTAGTTTTTGAGAATAGGAGTAGCAAGCAGACTTCAAAGTAAATATCCTTTGAGTCTCTGGTGTAGATGGCAGAGGGGGGCAGGGGAAGACCTTTTTTGCTTAGCTTAGGAACTGATGTCATTTGGAGAGTGTACTAGTTTTCCTGACTGGTCAGTGAGTAGAATTCATGGTTTAAGAACTCTGAATCTATGGATGCTGTGCTAGAATATTCTCAAGGTACAAAACTAAGAATGGGAATTAGAATTTCATACGTCCGGAGTATTACAGTATTGCCATATAACTACAAACCAAGGTACTTTTTAGTACCTGTACAGTATAAAAGTATATGGAGAAAAGTAATTTCAGTTTTAAAACTTCTTTCCTGTATCAAAAAAATGCAATTTATGATGGAAATTGCTGGAATAAGTGTATGCAATTGAGGCTTAGCTGCTTTTCTGCTGAGGGTAAAATACAGCCTTGGAATAGATGGGATTACACTGGTGAAGAAATTATTGCCCAGTAGTATATTGCAAAGAAGAAGGTATTCCAGCATTTCAAATTCACTAAAAGTTCTTTTGGTGTCCCATGTGGGAAAGTGAAAGTAACAGGTGTATTTTAGTCTGGCATATTTTGGTTCATGCATCTCAGTCTGATGTTGTAGAGAAGTACGGCAAGTAGAAAAGTGTGTTTTATCAGTGCGATTGCTGACCATCTTTAGAAACAGTTTGTGTGCTTGCATATGTACAAAGAGCATGTCTCCGGGTGTTTAGTTTTGCTTTAGGTTTCTCCTTTATTGAGCAAACTGGCTGTATGAGAGCCTTCTGAGCGGTGGATCAGCTTCATTTTGTTTTACTGGATTAGCTTGTTACTGCTGGTGGAAAGTGCTACGGTGATGGTTTTTAGAATAGTTGGACTCCTTGATTTCTGTTCCAAATCAACAAAAAATCCCGCTGTGGCATTTCTGGATTCTGCAGAACCACCTTCCTAGTGTGCTCAGTATAGTCCACTACTTAAGAGGAACAATTGCTACTTAAACTTTTGTGGTTTTGAGAAAGTGTTTTGTTTGTTCGATAAGGTCAGTGATTAAATTTGAGCACTGCTTGAATGATTATATGTGTCATTGTAGTGGTCAAAACATGTTTGCCTGTTATAATAGTTCCTATACTAATGACTATTTTAAATTGTTTTTATGAAATGAACTGATCAGAGATAGTGAAGGACTGTTACAGAACATTTTTGGACAATTGATTATTCACCTTTTCTATAAATTTGTTCTGTTCCCCTGTTTCAGGAGAAGTTACTCTAGGCTACCTTTATACATTGTCAGAGATCAGCAGCCAACAATAGAGGGCTGCTGACAGAAAAATTTCAAATGTGCAGCATTACTAACCCTTAGCTCAGAGGTGTTGCCTCACGCAGGTAGTTTTCTCAAGAGGCAGGGAATCTTGGCTCCTGGGTTTTGTTGAATCGCTAATAGAGTGGAACTTGAGTGCCTGGAACCTCTGTCTCTCTGACACAGAATGTCACAAATGAGATTATTAGTGAAACCTTCCAGATGCCCTTGAGATTCTACTGACATTCTTCTGATTTGGAAGGCAGTTGTAGGGGAAAAAAAAGACCAAAAAAAATTAAGTTGCCAAGACATAGGTATTTTAGTTTGTACTAACTGGAGGAGGAAGAAAAAAGCTGAATAATAAAACAGAATAAACATATCCTTCAAGCTACGTACTGCAAGATTTTAACTTCTGTGAAATGTACTTACTTATAAATAATGCATAATTGCAATGTAATGCCATTAATATGATAAAGGATCCTTGCTGCCTGTCTCTTTCCCTGGACCTGGTTGATAGGACTTCCTTGGACGACATCTCAACTGTAGGCCCTGAGAACGCTTCCCCAATTCAAGTGTGCCCTCCAGTTATAAGCAGATTGCTTAATTTGAGAAACCTAAGTATGTAGCACAGTGCCCCATGCACTGTGGCTTTTGTAGGAAGAAAATTCAGGTACATAGACAAGAACAAAGCTATGATGCACTCTGACTTGTTTTTGTCTGGACAGTCAAGGGATCATAACTAGGAACAGCTCAGTGATTCAGACACAGCTCCAGAGTCAGCTTCTTCATAAATCTTAGGAAACCCCAGCTGACAGAAAGTCACTTAACAAAGATTGATGGAAAATGTATCTCTTCTTTAATTGAAGGTGTGCTATGGCCTTCTACCCATGAGAATGTAATATATGTTCACCTGTAGTATAAGGTCATTTTTTTTTTTTTTTCCCCAAATTCTAGACCAATGTAACCCTGTCAATGCACAACTTATCTCTTTTAGGCAGTATGTGAACCATAAATTCGGAAAACCATTGTGAAATTATCATGTTAAAGTAATTTTACCTAAAAAATTAGGTAACTTTATTTTTAGTATTTTTGCTGGTTTACCTGGGTAATTATACTTTATAATCCACTAACTTTGTTCTCCCTCCCACCATGTGTCATGGTTTAACCCCAGCCAGCAACTAAGCACTATGCAGCCACTCACTCAGTCCCCAACCACCCAGTAGGATGGGGGAGAGAACCAGAAGGAAAAAGGTAAAACTTGTGGGTTGAGATAAGAACAGTTTAATAGAACAGAAAGGAAGGAACTAATAATGATAATAACAACAGTAATAAAATGACAATAATAATAATAATAATAAAGGGATTGGAATATACAAAACAAGTGATATGCAAATGCAATTGCTCACCACTCACTGACCGATGCCCAGTTAGTTCCCGAGCAGCGATCTGCCCCCCCGGGCCAACTTCCCCCAGTTTATATACTAGACATGACGTCCCATGGTATGGAATACCCCCTTGGCCAGTTTGGGTCAGCTGCCCTGGCTGTGTCCCCTCCCAACTTCTTGTGCCCCTCCAGCCTTCTTGCTGGCTGGGCATCAGAAACTGAAAAATCCTTGACTTGGTATAAACAGTACTTAGCAACAACTGAGAACTTCAGTGTATTATCGACATTCTTCTCATACTGAATCCAAGACGTAGCACTATATCAGCTACTAGAAAGAAAATTAACTCTATCCCAGCTGAAACTAGGACACCATGCTATGTAAGGAGGCGGAAGGAACAAAATGGGAGAAAAATGCCTTTCTTTTAAAAACGTATCTGCAGAAAATGACCACACTGAAACTATGAACAATGTTGATAAAATTGGTATAAAAGACCTTTTTTCTTAATTTTGGATTACTTCTGAAAATAGTCCACAGCATCCAGAAGTATGTGATTTCTAAACACATACCTTAAGAATTCTGATCTGCTTAAAAACTAGGATCATCTAGACACTTGTGAAAGTGGAATTTATGGAGTGTTTTAGCTCTTTCCCCTCTGCAGTGTTTTCAGAGTAGCAACTTAATTTGATTGTACAGATGTTTGTAATGCTCTGTTGTGTGTTCTCTGCAGGAAAAAAGCTCAGCTAAAGAAGAAAAGAGGTGTCCCAACTATTAATGAGCAGATGTTATTTCACGGCACCAGTAATGAATTTGTAGAAGCAATATGCATTCATAACTTTGACTGGAGAATAAATGGGATGCATGCTGCTGTATATGGAAAAGGTAAATATTTTTGTCACATGCAACAGTTTGGTAATCTTAACAGTTCAACATTGTTAAGTGTTCCCTGTAGTATGTTCTTCATGATGTACTCCCTGTGTTTATCCAAGAGCTGTTTAATATAGCTCTGCTTTGACATCAAGTGTAGTTAAGACTTAAAGTTAGGATGCAGTAAGAAATGTAATTGTCAAAACTGGCTGGTAGGACCAGGGAGCATGGGGAAGGGATGCCCAACAAAGCAGTGTTGATCACAAGACAATCTCCCGACTAAAACGTCCCTACTAAAATATTTGGTCATGTTGCTATAATCTTAACGATTTAGGAAAAAAAAAAAAAGATTTGGATTGCTAATGAACATAAAAGAACAGACATCTTTCATCATCCTGATACCTATATACATGTTCTAGTAGTTAAGTTGTTGTGATAAGAATGTTACCAGATTTTTTTTATTTGAAAGGGACATATTTCGCAAGAGATGCATCATATTCCAGTCGTTTCTGCAAAGAGGACATGAAGCATGGAGATACTTTTCAAATTCATGGTGTGAATCTGCAGCCTCATCTGCATAGACCAGATAAAGTCATGTTTCTTGCTCGTGTATTAACTGGTGACTATATCAATGGTGATTCAAAATACATGAGGCCTCCTTCAAAAGATGGAAGTTTTGTGAACTTGTATGACAGCTGTGTGGATAACACCTGGAACCCAAAGATCTTTGTTATCTTTGATGCCAACCAAATCTACCCTGAATACTTAATAGAATTTTGTTAAGTTTGAAAAGAGCTGAACTGAGTATTGTTTGTGTCTTTTTTTATACTTTTGTTCCTTTTGTAAAGACAACAATATAAAAACATGAAGTGTGAAAGGAGAGAGGTGAAAGAAGAGCTAGCATATGTTTATGGAGGAGGGAAGCTATTAAACATTTAAGAGAGATGGTCAAACTGTTTTTAAAAATCTGTAAACTTTACTAATGCATTTTTCAAATGTAGAGACTATTACAAATTTGAAATTGCTTAGTAAGCCTTAAATACATTGGGCATTGGTAAGTTTTCAAAAGCAAGATTTATGTTCTGATTTTTTTTAATATATTACAAGTATTTATTCATGTGGTAGAAATATGGCTGTAATATAGTATGTATATGATGAAACTAATCTTTTATAAAGATTGTCTGTAGAACATAAAAATAGCGAAAACAACAGCAACAAAAAACCCCAGGGGACTTAGCTACATATGTATGTATGTCTGTGTTCTGTAGTACATGTTGCTTGTGTTTGAAGGTCTCTTAGTTTGGATTCTAAACCTACCAAAAAAAAAATATCTGTCTGGAGAAGAGTGATGAAGGAGCTATGAAGTTCACCGAAGCCATTAGGTTTAACTTCAGGTACATTTTACTGTAAGCTTCAATTATATACTTGCAAAGCTTTAATCATATACTTGCAAGATTATAAAACCCTTGCACTAGGATCTGAACTTCAGTTTTGATGGAAATGATGCCCATAAGCTCTTGTGGTTGTTAATTGTTTGGTAGCTAACTGTTGAGCGCAGTGTTGGGATGTCAGCAGTTCTTCTGAGTTCTCTTGTTACAGTATGCGTGTGGATGCACTTACATTCATGCAGCTGTGTTGCTGATTCTTGCCTGGTCAGGGTTTAAGAAGCACTCATTGCTCGTGTACTTGCTGTTACAAAAGACGATGTTTAGATTAGCTGTACTGGAAATAATCCAGTTAAACTAACAATGAAAATTTCAAAATATGCCATCCTTTAATTTTTAAACACCTTAATAGAAAGCTTTCAATAACACTTGTGTAGGTCAGGTCTTCATAACTGGTATAGTTGTAAAGTTAAAGAGTATTTTTCACATGTAGAAAGAGCAAGAGACAGTATTTGGGTAAAGAACGAACTCAAGTACCTAAAAACATGAAGAGCCTGAAGAAGGGGCTGTTACAGTGAAATGCACTGAAATGTTAAACAATTTGCTATGAAATTGTGTCCCAAGTGTTTTTCTTTGTTAAAGGACCTAAGGAGCACTAAGAGACAAGGTCTAAGTGGAAGCCTTTCCAGTCTTCTTTGTTGGCTATGACCAGTAACAATTCCCTAGAGAAACAGTATATAATTATGGCAGATATAGAATGATCTGTATTGGTCTGTCATGGAATTGCTAATGGACTTTTTGGGTCAAAGGCTATGTTTAAAATCTGTTGTATTTAAAGGGCATGACCAAGTTTGCTCAAAATCATTAAACCTATGGAACTGGAAACAGAGTATCAGTACATATCTGGCATCGTAACTGAGGATGCAAACATCTCCTCCTTAGTGCTGTTATCTTTGCCTGTCAGTGGATCTTGCACAAGTTGGGTGTCTGTTTGTATTTATAATTTCATGGCAGCTTTTCCTTTTGCTTCTGTTCCTGAACCATTTAGGGCTAAGATGCATTTTCCTTTATTTTAGAGCAACAGGAAGTATGCTCTGTGATCCCAGTTAGGAACTCTGGGTTCTACTGTTGTAGGCGTGATTTGTGTTTGATTCACTACTATGCTAGCTGTGCAACAGGCACATTGTTCCCCACATTGTACAGAATATTTAATAGCAAATCATCAGCAGGGAATTTGTGTATTACTGAGTCCTTTTTATTCTTATACTGTATTCTACAGAACATACATTTTATGAAACTAACAAATACATGTGCTGTTGTTCCTTTGATTTGGCCTCTTATTTCTTCTGAGGTCTGAACTGACCTTTTTAGTTAAGAAAACTAGTCAAGTTTCTTTTTTAGTGTCTCATGGACACAAAATGCCATCATCTATACTGATCTTCGTTACTTTTCTAATTGTTTGTGTGGTGGTGTCTTGTTTACTACTTAACTCAAATTGAATGGCACAATCTTAATCTTACCAAATCACTGCACAACTGTAGTTTCAGCTCTTCTTTTAATGTACTGTTCTGCTTTCTGGTGTCCATTTTTGTGTTGATGAATCTTGATACTGAAGGTATCTGTAAAACAGCCATCCTTTTGCTGGCAGGTGGGGAGAGAGGTTGTTATTGCAAGCAAAGTCCAGAACTCTAAAAGTAGCCAATACAAGAAATAGTTGGACTTAATAAAAGGAACAGTGAGAGAGGAAGGGAGGAAAATAATTTCTTGGACTATGGAGCGTTAAAGAAATGCAAAAGGGTTTGGTCTGATTCTGGGGAAAAATACCTGCAGTTTTCTGTTACTATTTCATGTAGTGAGACTTCATGCTCCATTTTCTTTTTAGACCTGTGCAAGAGCATATCATTTTCACGTGTCTTGACCTGAGGTAAAGCTTTCTTACTAAATTATTCTTGTGGCAGAATGTTTTCACATGGGCACAACACTTCAGTATGAGCTGATCTTACTTCTATATCATACTGGCCTCCTGTGCCAGCTTTGCTTTTTAGAATGCGTGTGTACTCAATTATTGCTGAACAGATCACACTTCATCCAAAGCAGTTTGGGAGAGTGTCTGTCTTCATTCCAGTTCATTTACAAGGGCAGTTTGTACAAACTTTTAAGTTAAAATCTGCAGAAACAAAAGGATACAGCTTTATTTTTTAATAGATGTCCCAGTACCCTCACATCCAGGCTAGATGCGAGATACATAATGTACCAGCTGGAGTTAGTGACTTAAATTCCAGGAGTACATTGGATGCCAGTTCAGCTGGTGGTTTGAGGACAACTGATCCTTTTTAAACTGTTATCAGCACACAAGCTCATAGCAGGAAGGCTACAGTGAGTTTGTGCAGTCTGCATAGGTGGAGATTACTTTCAGGAAGAAGACTCATCAGTAATTGATGTGCTTCTCAGTGGCCTATACAGACTGTACATCTGATGAGCATGTCAGCCTTGAAATTCCTTTGACCTGTATGTCCATCCATGCTGTAACTATGATTATTATCAGGCACTGTCCAAAACAGCAGACTGCCAGAACAGTATAGGTCTGCTCCAGTATAGCCATCTACTCTTTACAAGTCACCAAAAAATTGTGCGGATTGACAGCTGGAATACTTTGTAATGTGTTTGCTTCTCTCGTGCTTCTTTTGCTTTTCTCTGCTGACACAACCCTGCAGTTAGTGAGGGAGTTTAGAGGCATAATCTCTGAGCAGCCAAAGTAACAATGTGGTTGCTTGGCTGGATTTTGTTTAATGGTTTTGGTTTTGTTTAATGGAACAGAATCTGCTCACATTGCTGATGAATTCACTGGCTTGATTTCTGCCATTTACAGAGTAGAAAAGCCTATGTCAGCAAGCTGTACTAGAGGTTGAGTGTTTTGTTGTTTGTTTGTTGTGGGCTTTTTTCTAAAAACATATATTGCATAGCAAATGGGCTGGGGACCCTGGCCCGGACCCTAGGCCCCCCGAGTCACCGGCTAGTCCCACTTAAAGTTTGCTGGTGAACAGGCGTGCGCACCCCAGGCCCGCCAGAATTGGGGAAGACACAGAGTCTACCCCCGCAGCCGGCACCAGGCACGCGGGCAGTGACCCGGGCAGCTGGTTTGGGGAACGGGCGCCGTTCCCACCCCAGTGGCTGGAGGTTCGAGACCCCCACTGGCTCCAGGAGCTGACACGGAGACCCCGCTCGCTCCAGGTGCTGGCACCACAGGCTGGGGGTGCCCACCCCCCGGTCTGCCCCCAGCAGCTGGCACCGAATTCCCCTCGTGCCCACACAGGTCTCACCAGGAGCGGGCACCCGGTCCTCGCAGCACACGCTCACAGGGGACAGAGAGCGAGCATCCGCAGAGAGACGCTGCAGAAGAGGTTTAATAGGAAGGTACAAGACGCTAGGACGGACTGCGTCCATCAGGCACGGGGCTCGGCCGGACAAGCGTGCTGACCGGCCCCGTGTTCCAGCCGGCCGCCCCTCTTACGCCCCTTTCTGTCCCCCCCCTTGGTCCCCCTGCTGCCCCTTCCCCTGCGCGTCCCCCGCCCCATGGGTCTCTACAGCTCTGTCCATTCCCGCGCTCCTCCCGGGCCGGGGTCCCCCGGTATGGAGTATTATCAGTTGCAAAGTCCAGGCTGGTCTTCCTGGAAGTGGTACCTGTGGTTTTTTGATCGCTCGTCAGTCAGTGTGCCTGGTGAGGTTTGTTTCTTGCCATAGTCTCCATGTCTGTTTTGTCAGGTCTGTGTCTCAGCATGTTTCGTGGTTTCCCCCTTTCCCCATTAGTTTCCCAACGGAGAGGTCCCCAGTCAGGTAACCTCGCTGGAATAAACTTTCTCACGCTCTCACATGCCCTTATCAGTTGATGTGACTGACCCGGTTTGGTTCTCGTCACTCCCTCCCTTATCATGTCGGTCGGGTTTGTGTCCTCCTATGTTCTTGTTCACGGCTTCCTCCTTTTCTTACTACTGTCCCTGTTGCACTGGAAAAGGTCCTTGACCAGATACCCTTAAGGGAGTGACACTCTCCTTCCACATACCCATACAGATACTTGTGCCACATAACACGTCCTACAGTTCTGGTCCCACGTTTGTCCCAACTTGGGGATTTAGTTCGAGAGGTCACATTTCATTCTTATGGTAATGAATGCACGTAGTAGGATCGTTTGCATGGAGTTTTCATCCTGGTGCCTGGACAAGAGACAGCCAAGGTGCACACAAAGACTGGAAGCCTGCAAGTTCTTTTGAGTGGATCTTCTAATTTTAAAGGGCCCATTGAATGTAGAGAAGTAGGAGAGTATTTGGTGTATAGTAGAATTAAGTAAGAAAAAAATTGCAGTGTAGTAAAGAGAGGGTGTACAATATGGGAAAAGGATAAAGAAAATAAACCCTGCCTATTCAGACATTGATCAGTTCTGTCTCCCCATAAAAATGAGTTTCTTTTCCTTGTGTGCTTTGAGCTGTTATGAGTTTGATACTGCTGTCACGTTAAGGATT